GTGCGCTGAGCGCGACACGCCATTTGGGGAGAAGATGCTAGACCACTTCGGTTGACTAATCAGGTTGACGATGCGCCAGTAGTCCAGAAGCGGGGAGCACCGAGTTCCTGTGAATAGTCATTGTTAAGATGAAGGGCAGTAGATGGAGAACACATCAAAGTAAACGGTACATGTATACGCCTCGTGTCGAATTTGTAGTGGTCATGTCGATGCTAAAATTACCTTTCAAGAGTTGTGTGATCAGAAATAAATCCTTGTATCCGACAGGAAAAGTAGAGGGTGAACCGTGCATAGGCTCCTTGTCCTCAATATGAAGAGACCAGGCGTAAGCGGACGATCCGAATGGTGCATAATTGTCAGTTTAACAGTGCAAGTTCAAAGGTTGAAATCACCCTGAATCAACGCTATCGCTCTTCAGAATATATCGCGAAGAGGAAGCAATGCTTGCTTTATGTAAAACCTGTATGGACTCAATAAAGGTCAGAAAGGAAGTTGTCGATCGCATCAGACAGGTAGGAGTTTTTGGAATATACCGTGATTCCGACGGGGGAAATCAGAAGTATAACGCCTCGTGCTTAGTCGAGATGAAGTTCGATTTTGATTAGCCTTCTACAAAGACTCCGTCATAATCAACAATGTCAAGAGTAAATTATTGACCGTAGTCATTTAGAACGTTACATTTGTCGGTCTCGAGTCCTACTGTTCCAACCATTGAAAGCTCATTTTTGCTGCTGTGGGTAGCGCGATAGCCAGCTTTTGCATCTACGTTTCACCTGCTGTTCTCAGTAATTCCCCGCTCACGCGCGATGACCTCGACTTACTTGGCGTCCGAAAGTTACTACGTTTTGCTTGGGCGAAATGGACAAAACGTACAATTTCCCATCTTGCAAATTTGCCGCTCATGAGCAGCTTGACGAGTACTCTTCGTTGTCACACTCCTCACCTTCACAATAGGGAAATTATCCATGAAAAGGGCGCCCATAACTCATAATCTGATCCACTTGGATCTTTTGTCCAACGTTCATGAACTTTTTAACCATTAATGATGACAGCCCTAATGGGCTGCCAGGTGATAGGTAGTGATAGTTGCCTGTTATTTGCTTATATCATAATCTTTTTGAGTGTTCTAAAAATCATTGAAATAGGTAGAGGTTAGCGCACACCGTATTCTCGTCGGCAGAGAGAACTGTCAAGATAACGACTTTACCCAAAGTACTAACGATTCGCAGCGTTTTTCGTTGTAACAAAGCAAATAAACTAATTTACTCGCAAGCAGAATATTTGATGTAATCTCTAGTATCACAATTCTCGGCTTCTTCTATGTCTGAGTTAAAACTTATGCGTTGGTAGCAGCCGGAACAGTTTTTCGCTCGTTTCAAAGAAACGGTTCCCGAGTACGATTTCTTTGTTGACCGGTAGTGGTGTAATGTTGGTATCTGCACCAGTTTCATATAAAAGCACAGTCCTAAAAATTGTATCACCAGTTTTCCCAAACTTTCCATACCTGATGAGTCCGTACCGATTGGTCTCCTGCACAATAAAAGCAAGTAAGTCGTCGTTCAAAAAATAAGGAAGAAGTCGAAAGGTCGCTGCAGGTAGTGTCATCTGTTCCTACCATAGCAGATTTCTGTTCAAATAAGAGTGGAGAAATTTTCTTCACATCAAACGAGCAGCTGTCCTTATTAAAAACAGGTACTTCTGGTGCGTCATCATCCAATCCTTCTATCGTCATTAACAAGGAAGATATCATCATGATCCACTGCAATTTCTTCCAACTCCTCCTCACTATCGAAAATTAAAGCGTTAGCTGCGGTTAAGTTCGTCATCGTTCATAGTTTGCTCGTTTTCTGGAACGGTTCCTCCCTTGAAAGTGTGTTAAGGTCTGAACAAAGTACTCGATATTTTAGATGAACGCTGTTAAGGGGCCTAAATCCTGATGGCTCATTCATTCGTCTTCATTTGAAGGGCTTCGAGGGAGACATACAGGAGGGGTTAAATTTTATGAATATATAGGGGAATGTTACGACGTTCTTTTCAGATGACAGACGACCCCATAAGCCTGTGAGGTTCAGGTTATCTTCAGGGTTTTGATGTTTGTTACCCGTACGCTTGTATGTATGGCCGCACAAATGCAATAAATTTAGCATTCTCATTCGAAAGGGTAAGCGCTGAAGGTTTGTGTAGCTGTATAATATTGTTGGAAAAATTTCGAACTGAGTCGAGGAGCACAGACAATACCCTGCAGAACTTGATAAGATTGTTACCTACCTTTATACATAACGTAGGGGTCATGCACGTAATTAGCCGTTTATTCAAACTACTACATCATTAAGAGCATTTTCTCAACTCGTGACAAACAGCTGACCCATATTCAGGAGACGGAAGCAGAGATGATTGCCAGTGCTGGGCGTCTCGATGAGCACATTCGAAGAGTAACGAAGGTGCTTGACTTTATCACAAGAATGCATATCACAGTAAGTGTTTTGCATAAACTACAAGCAAACCACTCCTTGATGTTTTATTATCTCTCTCACTTATAAAGCAGTAACTTGGTGTGTCTGTTTGTCGGTTTGTAGGTTTGTGTGTTTGTGTGTTTTTCGGTGTGTCGCTTTGTCGGTCCGCAAAACTTTATGATTACGATAAAGGCAGTGATATGGAAAATCTAGCTCTCACATTTCCTCATATGTAAAGCAGTAACTTGGTGGTGGGTAGGTTTATGGAGTAGAACGAGTGCTGCGGAATGTAGTGAGCATTCAGTGTGGCGAATACTTTGAGGCTGTGACTTTGATCGATACTGGCATAGTACTGTTTGCCTATACAGAATTTGGAATTTGGCTACCTCATTCATTGCTCTTTCTTCATTCTCTACCCTTCAACCTAACAACACGCAAACTAATCTACTTTTCTCCTAAGCGAAGCGGAAGCGATCGGTTGAACCGCCACTTTCTTTCGAATTTATTCAGCACAGCGTAGGCGGCACTGCATATTGAGTTGCATTGGTTCCATTGTCCGACCTCTGTCTGTTTCTGCTGAGCTCCCTTCCATAAAAAGAAATATCATTCGTTCAAGATCTCAGGATCTTGACACCGTTGATGCTTAGCTCTTTTCTTTGTTAGCTTGCATAGCACCTTCTCTACATACGACTGACCAAAGGATTTGTCAACCGAAAATTTCAATAGTGTTTATTATTGTTTTCAACTGTTGATAACGCCACTATCACAAGTCCATGACCCATCCTGCCGATTTACACAATTTGATAGTCGGATTGGTTTTGCTGAAAATATAACTGAATCGAGAGAAGGTGCGATACCTTGACGAGTCACAAACATAATACTATATTTAATTCGCTAAGCTGTGTTTTTGTGTGTCTGTGTATGGGTGTCGGTGTGTGTCCGACCGTAAATTCATAACTCCTGTTCCCGTGGACCCAGAGCGCTCAAACTTGCTAAGAGTACGGGGGGAGGGCAGCATGGGAACACTTATAGTGGATTGCAGGACCGGACTCCATTCACAAGGAGCGGGGCGTGCGCGATAGAAATTTTGGGCCGCAAATTCATAACTCCTGTTTACGTGGACCTAGAGCGTTCAAACTAGGTAGGATTACACTTTTCATATCAACAGTGGAACCTCGGCATTTTGATAATTGGTGAAAATGTAGTTGGGGGGGGGGGGGGGCACCCA